GAAATACTAAAGAGTAAATTTATTCAGTTAAATCGCCATTGAACTCACAATTTTTGAGTCTTTTCGAGGACACATGGCCCAGTGGATAAAGGCGTTGGTTAGATGCAGTGACTAGACCCAAAGAGTTCAGAGTTCAATACAGTAGTGGTGAACCAAAATACTTGGAGAGTTGAATTAAAGGGAAATAACTGGAAGAGGCACGGCATGTGAAACTAGAACAATCTTCCACGGTGGACAAAATAAAGGGTTTGATTCGAACTTCTAATCATCTGAAGAAGGCCGGAGCGTACAATGATCGAAACGTTGTGAATATGGCATTGAAGATGATGATAACAGTCCGAATAATGTAAATAATCAATGGCTTTTGAAATCGAAATTACGCCCAGACACATTACAGTGAGCAACTAATTAATCAAAACATTCTGTGAGCGCAAAAGCCATCTTTTACAAAATAACACACTCACAATATTAATTTCTCAGCGCAATGAGTCTGCTCACAAATTCGATTTTAGAAAATCCTATTAAAAAGGGAAAACAATTTACTAAGATGAAAGTTTATAGAAAGTCCGATAATGTTTTTAAGGCCGAAACGTGTCACACGAAGAAATTCCCTTTGTCATTAATGTTTCCTAAACATAACATAAAATATATATATATATATATATATATATATATATATATATATATATATATATATATATATATATGTGTGTGTGTGTGTGTGTAAGCAAATATATGGATATAGATCCATTGAGTATGAAGAAAATATACTGAAAAAAAAACAAAAAAAATCTAATATGCGATTATGCTGTTTTAATGTTTAATGTCAACGTCAGACGTTTCGGTCTAATAGAACATCTTCAGGACATATTCATAAAACATAATTAACATAGACCATATACAATTCAACATGAAAAAGACGATGGACATAAAAGCAATACCAATCCAAACAGATAACAGAAATCTATGGTCTATTAGACCCGAAACGTTTCGACGTTGACATTAAACATTAAAACAGCATCATCGCATAATGGGATTTTTTGTTTTTTTTTTTCAGTATATTTTCTTCATATATATATATATATATATATATATATATATATAAGCGTTTTCACCCAATCAGGCGAGAAGCCACTAAGACGCAAAAAGGGTTACAGAAGATTTGGAGCAAGATCCAGATGGGGTGATAGAGGAAAGGATGAGAGAAGAGTAGTGGATAGATCAAGGCAACTGGAATGTCGATTGACATTACATTTGAATAGTTGGAGATTATAGCTCTCAGGGGAAACTGGAGTAGGAAAGGGAGTTCCACAGGCGAGAGGTGCGAGACATGAAGCTATTGGAGTAGAAGAGACGGCTACATTTAGGAGTTTCGACAGTGAAAGGGTGAGTGCGAGATGCCAACCTCGTAGGGTTCTTGAACTCATGAAGTCTGGGAACCAGCGAATGCAGCTCCTCAGAGCAATTGCCATGAAAGTATTTGTAAAAAAGACAGAGGCGACGGTGCGTCTGTGAGAGAGTGACTGTAGACGAGATGCCAGAACAGGGGGAAATTATATTGTATATCCGCCTCTGGAGCCTATCAAGAACCCCGAGGCAAACAGAAGGGGCTCCAGACCATATATGGCAGCAATACTCCATGCAAGGGCGAATTGTTGATTTATAGATCTGGAGGATCGATTATATATAAAGAATATTTAAAAAAAAAGAACTCGACTGTATTGGGGATCATTGAGTTCATGCGAACGTTCATTTCCTTAGCTGTATAGTATGCAGGGCCGACTCAAGGTACTGAAAACTCAGACAGTCACCCGAGGGACGGGCATTATGATCAAGAGCGCCATCATGCTGCCATTTCATATGTTTAGGATCTTCCAAAATTAAAGCAAAATCTCAAGTTGATGTTAAAAATTGCCACAAAACATTGATTTAAGATTAAATGATCTATCATGAGAGGTTTTTAATTTGTATTTAGATATATTGTATTTAATTTCAACTTTTCTAGTTGAATCGTTCATCTATATTGCATATGACCCATTATTGTCCATAATTAGGTTACAATAAAATTTGTATTTTATATCAGTACTATGGGCCCCGTACCATAGATTCGGGGGAGTACGAGACCGTTGGACCGGACCTGATCACAAATTCTATCATTCCCCGTGCAAGAACGCCTTCACAATAAAAGACCGGAAGCTTGTTAGAAAATATCGGCATGTAAACAATATTTTATTCAAGCAGTTCACTCCTGACTGACAAAGAAGAAATTAGAAAAATAAAAGATAGAATGAATACGTAGTTTTATTTCATTTTAATCGGATCATTATTCACGCCAGTGGGCGGCGACTATGCCATTCTTCTCCTCGTGAAAGTCGTCGGCGCTCCCAGGAACAGACACTGACAGGATAATCAGTGCTGTCAAATCACAGACGGATTACTTTGAGTAAAAATTTTAGTTAGCTTGTCACGTTTGAATAAGATATAAAAGAAAACATAATAATTCACATACACGCACATTATGAAAGAAATGAGAAAAAAAAATCACAGTTGCGCCTATGAACAGCCTATATATAAAAAAGACGAGAAATATAAACAGTTAGTTGCTGATACTCTCTGAAGAGTGGACGGAGTGATTGCGGGAGGAGGATCAGTCTACGAAACAGTGGAATTGGGATTCTGAAGTTAACATCAATCAGCTAAGTGATAAACTTTATATTTGCATATATATATATATATATTGTGAATTTAGGCAGCAGTCCTTCAGTTATGCATGTTTCATTAAAAACAACAGACAAAGTACTACTAATAAGCTTTTTATTTAATGTTTCTTGTGTTCGAACAAGTTTTTTTTCTTTTTTGGACACAGAGTGTGTAGAAATTGTCCAAATGTTCTATAATTCTGAGCGCTTTCGATTATACTTTTAGCCATTATCAAGGATAATTGGGTGTAAGCGTTGTGTGTATGTTTTTAGTGTTATAGAGATGTCTTATTTTCTGAACACAGTTAGCACATTGTGGCCGTGTTCGTAGTTTTCGTGGCTTTTTCTTTTCTATTATTAAGACTTCCATTATTTTTAATCGTTTTTTTTTTACATGTGGATGAGGTTATTATGTTTGTATTTTCTACAAGTATGTTTCGGATAGAGTCTGATAAGTTTCTATGTGTGTTTAAATGGGTTCTAATCAAGCTATGGTCAGATAGGTGTAACATAAGATGTCTGGATAGGCATGTAGTTTTATGAATTTGGTTTGATCAGGAACACAGTTCCTTAAGGGGCATTTGAACTCATATATAGTGTTCGTTCTTTGTAATTTTGATTTTGCTGATGTGTTGTTATTTTTTAGGATAAGGTTAGCTATTTTAAATTTTTGTAATAGATAATTTGATTTTTTTTATTCGGGTCAATTAGTGTAGTTTATTTCTTTATAATATTTCTAAGTGAAGATTCATCTTGTTTTGTAGTTAATGTGCATTTGGTTTTTGTAGAACATGTTTATGTAATTTTCGACTGTATGTTCACTATCATTGTTATTTACTTTGGAAAGAAATAGCCTAATTTGGTGGTCTCTAAGTTTTTTAGAGGGGCCATTGTTAATTAGTGTCTGTTTTACATTACTGAGTTCTTTAAGGAAGAGTAGTCGAGAGGGTGAATTCTGGTGTGCTCTTTTTAGGAAGTTTTTATCTATTTTGTATCTGAATGGGCATTCACTTTTAAAGTTAAGGTGACAAGAGCTTCTGCTAGTGTTTTTTTTATAATGAGGTGATGAAAGTGTTGTTACTATATCCTACGAGAACATCTAAGAATGGCAGTAGATAAAGTTAAGGACACAGTTTTTTTGTTTTTTTTTCAACCTTTAAAGATCAGTTGAATCTGCTACCTTAGTTTCAACTTTACGGTATCCTCAGCCGATTTTTTTTTTTTTTTTTTTGGTAATTTTAATATGCGCCCGCATCTGTATGTATATAATCAGGTTAAAAAATACGTTAGTTCGAAGAAGGTGCCCGGTACTAGGCCTTGCCTGGGTGTACATGTATAACCGCAACCCCTGTATACCCGTAACCCCTGTCTAGAAATGTCTGCCTGTGTCCCCGCTTGCATGCATCATCCGTTGGTATACTAAGCTCTCATCTTTTTTACGGTATGTCCTTCGCAAGCGTTTCATTGTTCTTAATAAAGGATTTCCATCGATATAACCTTCCTGTGTGGTCGTTGCTCGAGGTTAAATTGTTTCAATGTTTTAGATATTCAGTAAATTTCCTATGGCCGTAATAACTTTCAAATTGTATGGCATTGTTCACAAATCTAATAATCAAACAAAAACACTTTCACTCCCTCTAACTTCCTGTGTACTAGTGGCATACCCGCCTTACCTGGGGTGAAATGATTAACAAATTTAAATGTAATGTCAATCGCCATCTTCTATCTTCTTGAATGCCGATCATCTTTTGTCCTTTCCTCAATCCTCCCTATACTCAGTCTTTTCTCTCACTTTCACTCCCTGTAACCCCCTGCGTACTAGTGGCATTCCCGCCTTGCTTGGGGTGAAATGATTAACAAAATTTAAATGTAACGTCAATCGCCATCTTCTATCTTCTTGAATCCCGTTCATCTTTTGACCTTTCCTCAATCCTCCCTATATGTTCTCTCACTTTCACACCCTGTAGCCCCCTGCGTACTAGTGGCTCTCCCGCCTTGCTTGGGGTAAATTGTTTTTAAAAAAAATATTTATCAGCAATCGAGATCGTCCCAAAGAAAAAAGAATGGATGACAGATGAAAGAAGACAAAAAACGGTTGTAATAAGAAATATAAATTATATAAATATTTCGATATATTCGAAATATTAGTGAAGTTGAAAATATTAATATTAGAACGATGATAAAAAAAGGTATTTTATTGCTGCAGCCACATTTTTAAGTATTCACCAAATAAGATTTCATTTTTTATTTTGTCTCACCTGACGTTTTTCACTGTTTCTGTTTTTCTCTCTTGTTTTTTAGGAAGAATCTCTCGCCGAGTCGTTCAGCATTTTCATTGATTACTGTCTAAATCTGATTCGAAAGCAAAGAGACGTGTTTCTCCCAAGCAACAAAGATGTCATTCACACGTTGGAATGTATGCTCAGGTAAGACAAAGCTTTCAAGTGTGAGAAGAATTTGCGGTTACATTTGAAACCAAAATACAAAAAATGGTAAAGTCTAATCAATATTTCTTTTCTTTTTTTTTAATTAGAAATCTTTGCGTTGGACTGTTCCTTTTGTTAAAAAACACGCATTCTGTCTTGGAATAGCCAAAACATGCTAGTTACAAATTGGAAATACCAAAATCGAACAAGTACCACAATTGAAATATCTGGGAAGTGTTTTAATAGACGACGGAAAGTGTGACACTGAAATCCGAAGATGTATTGGGATAATCAAAGGCGCATTGGAATAGCGAAAGTTGCCTTCCAAAAGCTAAGCAGGGTATTACGAAACAGGAAAATGTCGCTAGCAACAAACAAAAAGCTATTGAATTGTTATATAATACTGGGTGTAACAGCAAAATTGTCCACTTCATGTAACATCATGGGATAATCCCACAAAATGTTTAATATCTAAAAAACCACTAACCTAATTGAGTTTCTTTTTTCCAGGTTTTCAGATAAGACGTTTAGCCATCTTGATACCATTTGTCGTAAAATCACAGAAAAAAAACCTGTGAGTTATTCAGCTAGAAAGAGAACACGTTTAAATCGTTTTGTGTCAGCCCCACTATGCCTTCCTAACTGAGAAATGGTGGGAGGAAAAAGACCATTACGGCCTTCAATAATGATACCAACATTCATACTCTTCTATCTTCAAAGTGAATTCAAGAACCATCAAGAGAATAGCGAAGAAGTTTAAAAAAGAGAGAACAGTAGAGAGGAAAACTGAATCAGGATGTCACAACAGGGATCATCATTTGAACTTAGAGCTAAATACATTCTTATTGTTCAAAGTAGAATCCAATAGTTTTATAAAAATATCTGAGAATTCCAGTAAGATATCTTTAATCATTTCTAAGATTCCAACGGTTCAAAGTTTAATCTAACAATTGGACAATTTTGCTGTTACAGGATTTGGACAAATTTGTTGTTACACCCGATATCTATATCTATATATCTATATATATATATATATATATATATATACTTACAATTATGCTGTTACACCCAGTATACCTCCTAAATTGCTGCTTTGTGAAACAGAATCCTGGCAGAATGTTTGCCCAATCACTACAATCTTGACCTCTTCAAGTCTAGGGTTAACCGTTATCTTTTTCATTCGTATTCCATTAGTAAGGAGGAAGTTCCATTCGGACAGCTTCTTCCCAAGAACTGCTGCTTTGTGGAATAGACTCCCCGGTAGAATGTTTGCCCAATCACTACAATCTTGACTCCCTGTACTGTAGGGTTAAATGTTATCTTTCCTGCATAAACTCACTTTTTGCCTTTTTCTTACGTTAAAATAAACCCCACACAATAAACTTCGACTTTGAGTGGTTTTGGGGCATTGCATTTGGTGAACATTAGTATAAAACTAATTTATACTCATAACCAAGGCTTAGAAAATGACCAAAGCTTCATACGTAAATAATTATATCAGTTTTGATGGGTAATATACTATCAGAGTTTTCAGCACTGGCCTTTGAAACCGAGTTGAGGTCTTTCTTTCCTGTCCGGGTTGCTGTCTTTTTGTTTATTTTATTACAGAAATTTCTTTAAATGAGGATTATTCAACTTACGTAGCTGAAATCAGTACAGTCGATTGAGTGCATACCTTGACAAATGGAAATTCCCTAATGAGTCGATTTTTGCGTGAGCTGATCTCGGAACAGAATTGAGCATTTAGTGATATTACTTAAATCTATTGAATTATTCTACAATTTTTAACGGAGTTTCACATTATAGCCCACGAGTGGTTCTTTAAATCAGCATTTACTGTAATTCCACGTGATTAATTGTAAGTTATTAGGTTGATAACAAAAGTTCATGGTAATATCTTTGTTTCATAAGGCTAGCGAAAACATAGAAGTATCTTGGGAGCTCAGTTTTGTATTGCTGATGCAATCAGTCGGTTGGAGTTAATTTATTCGCTACCTAAATCGGTACCTAATTCGAAATACTAACGTACTAAATTTTTAATTTCTTAAAAACATAGAATAGCAAACATAAAGCAAACTATTTACACTCTTTACATTGTTCTGAATCTTGTCCTCATCTTTATCACCATATTCACGACGTTTCAGCTTTTGAATGCTCCGGTCTTCTTCAGGATCTGTCTATATTCTAAAGTTGAGTATTTGAATATACAAAAATTTGTGAGTAATCAGCATCCTACAACAACACTTGCCAAACTGAAAACAGATTTTGTGAATTTACGCGACGATATTTATAAGAGAGTATAGGATCAAAGCTGGTAAAAATTAGATTTACTAAACTCAGAAGTTTATTGGTTAGCAATTATTTACCACAATTTTTAAATATCTATTTTTCGGGAGGAAAATATTGTTAATCATTTACTAGAGTGAGCTTTCAAATTTCGTAGCAGACAATATGCGATTGTCTCGAATTTGAAGGCTTTTTCCAAAGCTGTTTGAGATAATGTTGCTGATTGGTTAATAAATTTGCATTTGGAACCTATGTTTTCCACAAAAATGAGTCGATTTTTGCGTGAGCTGATCTCGGAACAGAATTGAGCAGTTAGTGATATTACTTAAATCTATTGAATTATTCTACAATTTTTAACGGAGTTTCACATTATGACCCACGAGTGGTTCTTTAAATCAGCGTTTACTGCAATTCCACGGGATTTATTGTAACAGAATCGAAGGATATAAACTGATCAAGCTTAAGATGTACCCCAGTCGAGACCAGAGTTGTGGACTTAATTGGGACCTCCATAATCATTCTATAGTATACGCTGGGACTGGGTTACATACGGTTTCTCAACTCTTAGACTAGTTGCCAACCACGGCTGGGATGTCCATTCTGTCATGTTATTTAACCCATAGTTGGGGAAGAATAGATGGATTCATACTCTTCCCAATTATATTTGTGCGGAAGAGAATGTCACGAACACGACTGGAATTCGAACTCGGTCGCCGATTTATCTTTCCAAAAAGCTAACCGTTACACTAGCCGCAGAAGCATAAGCTCGAATATGAGCTCTGGGTACACACTGGAGTGTCACATCGACATCAGAACGATAAAAAAAATCAAAACTTACAGACAACCAATCAGATTGGCTTGGTGTTAATCAAACGCTGCCACCGCCATTTTATCGGCAGATTTCGTCTCTTGGTGTCGTCTGCAAACAAAACTTTATTGAGTGTGTCGCTACATTTATTTGCGTGAAATCAAATGAAGCAAGCACCAAGGCAATATCAGTCATTGTTCTCTCGCCTAGATTATCTGCAATCCATGAGAAACAATCCTTAATTGTTCTGTGGATGTAGAATAATGATTTCAGGCGTTAAAACAAATCAGGACTCAAATTTCGATATTTAGATAATAGCTTCCATCCAGCTTATGTAATTGCATCAACAAAAATATATGAATCCCTGGTGTATTTTTTATAGAATTATGGTTACTAAATAAATGCAACGTTATCATTTCTGTGAGTTATTGAATATTAATTAGTAAATAAATATAATTTTTCGTCTAACTATTTATTAAATGACAGAACCAGCAGATGATGAATTAATACAGTTCTGGTTGGGTTGGGTAATTTAATATATCAACTCACGTTGAGGTATTTAATGCCGAATTTGAGGCTTAGGAAACAAAATAATGAAGAGTTAACAGAAAAATTGATATAGGTCGGTTTACAGTCAAGTCAAAAACGTTGACATAGATTCGGTTTACACACGAGTCAAAAAGGTAGGTATAGGTTCTCTTTTACTAGGGTCAAAAATGTAAACGCAGATTCGGTTTACACTCAATTCAAAAAGTTAAATTCGGTTTTATACTATAGTCAAAAAGTATACTTCCGGCTTACATTCAAATAAAAAAGATAGACATAAGCCCGATGTACAAAATGGTGGGAAAATGTCCAAGTCAGACCATTTATCTGGTTAACATTAGATGTAACAGGTAGATATCGGTTCGTGTTTATAATTAAAAGGAAAAGCATGGGTCCAGTTTACACAAGAGACAAAAATGAAGAAAAGATTCCAGGTTATACTAGAGTCAGACGATTAAGCATATTTCCGGATTTACACTTGAGTAAAAAAAATGGCAGACATGGAGTTTGGGCTAAAAGTTTAAGACAACCTGGAAAAAAACTCAGCATTTCTCTTATTACAGGATATATTATTACCCTTAGGTTGTAAATACTGTAACACAAGCTTGGTTAGTTTGAAAGTTGTGAAGTCATTATAAACAATTCTATTCAGTATATGTTATACGTTACAAACAAGTAAAAAAATGAATACAATATGGGAACCAGTAATAAGGAGTGTAAAGAAAAGGACAATAACAAAAATTGCAATATGAGTCTGAGTAAAAATATGTATGATAACAGCAAAGAATTGCAATAGAGCACTGGTAAAAATGGTTGCTGAAAACATTCGGTTTATAAATCCCAGAATTCATGCTATATGTCCTCAAGGACACATCGCACAGTGGATAAAGGCGTTGGTTAGATCCAGTGACAGGACCCAAAATTGTAAGTTCAATATGGCGGGCGGTGAGAACTTGGAGAGGAATTAACAGGAGATAGCGATAACTGACATTAAATATGGCCCCATTAAACATGGCACGGAACTAAAACAGTCTAACCCAACGAGCGAAATAAAGGGTTCAGTTCGAAATTCCAACGCCTGACCGGAGCGTTCAATGGCCGAAACGTTGTAATAAATGTGGCTTTTTCAAAGATGAGGACAATAGTCTGAATAATTGTAAATAAAAGTTTAAATAATAAAATCATCTCAAAATATAGACAGATAAAAAAAGAATTCTTGGTGTTTTTACTTTTGTGTTGACTGATTTTCAGACTTAATCCGGTTTCATGGGCGAAGCTTTCTGAAACAAACAATTTATTATATTCAAGGAGAAACCATGTCCCTTCTCAGAAACCGTAAATATTGTTTTATATTTGCAAAGTGT